TCGCGTCTCAGCAGCATCGGTCTCAACCACCCTCTCCTCCCTGGCCGACTGGGCCGCCCAGTCTGCCGAGAGGAGAGCGCCAGACAGGTCGGGAGGGGGGGGTGGCGTGGCGTGTCGTCTGGAGCCTCGATGATACCATAACTGATTACGCCCATACGCCTGAATACAGGCAATCGGGCAAACTTTCAATGTGCCAGCCAAAGTTGTGGGAATGCCTAGGGTACATGGGATTGGCACGACGGCAACTTATGCTGCCCATGTCCCGTGGCCTCGATTGTATCTACACCCGGTTGGAACTCAGTTTGATTTATCAACTCTGTAGCGATGGGAACAGTCCTCTTGTGCCAATCCAGCAGAAGCTCGCATCTACAAGCGCAGCCTTCAGACATGCGCATGCCAGACCGGGCGCATACATGCCTACACCTCGGTCTTCTTCATTCAGCCTGCCTCCCTCTGGGCCGGTTGCTGGGTCCTTCATTTACCCACAGGGCATAGTATTAAAAGACATAGTATGTAACCGCGATGTCATAGCGAATTAAGTGGTCGTTTGATATGGCCGGGCAGCTGTCGTTGCTTCAATTGGGCGTTCTGTCCATTTGGCTCATTCTCGCCCTCCCTAGCCCCATCTACAAGTCATCAAACCCGAGTACGCCTGTCATTTTACTCTTTCTCATTCCAGCGGATACATAATACATATATACATATATATATATATACATACACACACGCACACACACACACATGCAAATCCGCTTCCATCTTCAGGTCACTCTCAATCTGGGCAGTTAATCTCTGGCCTTCCAACCTGGCTGAGGAAGATCGACGCTAGTTCGGGTGGTGAGAAGTTTATGGGACGCAGGTGGGAGGAGCCGTGTTGGTTGTGGCCATGTTGAAAACTATGAATGTGCACTGGTGTGAATCACAGCAAGAGATTATTAAACAATTGGCTTGATTAGTGAGGTGACACAGGCGGCTTGTATACATGAGGGCCCAATGAATTAGGCGTTTGTGTGTGTTTATGTGTCTGTGGGTGCAGGGCGGAGGGAGCGGAGAAGTGTGTACATGAAGGGTTTATTTGTGCGTTGTGTCTGGTGGGCATGGCGACCACAAGTTTTCACATTGCATGGGTGTAGGTGATATTTTGTAATCAAGACTCAGACCGCTCTGGCCGACTAGCATGTCATTATGTCGCCAGTCTCTAGGACGTGGTGTTGTCAAATGGGTTGCGTCGCCGGAATCGGGACTGATGAAGCAAAGAAACCGAATCGATGCGTCAAGTACCCTTTTCTGTTGGCGCTTGGCTGGTTGAGTAACTGGCAGTAGTCGTTTAGAGACTATCAGTAAATCTTGAATAGGAATTCTGGTCAGGAGATTAATTGTGACATGAATTTTCAATTGTAATGAAAAGATGGTTGGAAGGAAGTGGCGAATTGGTCTGTCTTGGATTGGAGTGAAGACCGTTGGAATGTGGAAACATTTTATTATCAAGCCATTCATCAACATACATACATATAAATATATGAAAAAACTGGGTTTCGAAAAATCCCTTGATGATTTATTGTGACATGAATTTTCATTTAAAGGGAAAAGTAGTCCGAAAGAAATGGGTGAATTGGTCTTTCCGAAACTGGCAGGAAGAGTGAAGACTGTTGGAATGTGCAAAGAACTTCTCGCCTTACCGTTCTGCGACCCCGACGAATGTGTGCTGACCTGACAGACGTAGTCAGTGCAGGAAAGCAAACTTAAAGAATACACGCACTAAATACAATAAACTTAAAAATAAGCCAACCTTAGTCTCTTGACTTATTGCATTTGGTGCTTTTGACGTAAAGTATGATTTCTAGATCGGACCGCGAAATATTATCGCAGACTCATCATTGTAGGAGGGTGAGGCGAGGAATTTTTTGCCCGTTCAAATGTTCCGGTGAACCAATTCGCCGTTTCCATCCCAACAACTTTGTCTTCGAAATGAAAATTCATATCACAATAAGTCACAAAAATCCTTCGAAACCCAGTTTCTTTTCATTTGTGTGCATATAAATGATTTGGTAGTTGAATTTTTCGACATTACTATGACTAAGTTTCATGATTCCTCATCACTTTATGCGACCTAAGGTGACCTAACTTCTTAGTGAAAGATCCAATTCGCTCGAC